AGAGGGACATTGGTCTGGGGCTCCAGGAAACCACGCGTGGGGTCAAGTGAAATTTGGGGTTCAAAAAGGAGGATTTTAGCACAGCATAAATGGGCTTTTTGTTCAAGTGGACTTAGAAAACGATGGGAAAATCGCTAAGACGAATGAAAAACTTTCCATTACTTCAGGACTAAGGGTGCCAGGGAAACGGTGGGATGCTTGGCCACTGACCAAGCCTTGAGTCTCACGAAGGGGAAAAATTCCTGGAGCCAGGGGGAGTGGAAAACAAAATAACCGGCATTTTTTCATTTCCGGAGCTGCTGTTTTTCCCGATGGGGGGTAACGTTGCTGCTGTCTCTCCCCCCAGCACCCCTACCCCACGGAGGACGAGAAGCGGCAAATCGCGGCCCAAACCAACCTGACGCTCTTGCAGGTCAACAACTGGTGAGTGGGTTCTGCGGCGCGCGCCACGCGCCCAGGGCCTTTCCCTTCCCAATTTGGAACAGCCACGAGGCCTCCTTGTACACCCCAAGTCACCGGCTCCCCCGTCTCTTCCAAGAGGGGACGCTTGAAAATATCCTCCTTCCTATCTTGGATGGTTGACGTTGCGCCGCATGCACCAGAGCAGCCTCTTGGCCCCATTGCACGGCTAAAAAAAAGGTTAAAATCGCTTAAACTCAAACTACAGCACAATTTTTACTATTTATTTAGCCGCCGAGTTAGGGCGTTGCGGGATAGGGGTTTTTTTAAGGCGTTAAGTTGTCCATGTTCATTCGCGATGACTTGGTGCCCTCTCCTGGTCAAGCCAAGAGGTAGCGGCCGGTATTTTCCTGCTGTGATTAATAGCTGGAAAAACCGGGGTGATGATAGAACAAACCACAAACACATGAGGCAGGGTGAAAAATAACACATTTTGGGCCGGCCAGTCACTTTTCCAAAGGGTTTTATATTCGGATTTATTACGTTTTCATAGCGATTTGGAATTAGTGAAGTGCTTTTGGCTGTTGTGGCTAATTCCCTGCCCTCTCTTGCCTGGAAAGGTTTATCAACGCCCGGAGACGTATCCTGCAACCCATGCTTGACGCCAGCAACCCAGACCCAGCCCCAAAAGCCAAGAAAATCAAATCTCAGCACCGACCCACCCAGCGGTTCTGGCCCAACTCCATCGCCGCCGGGGTCTTACAGCAGCAGGGTGGCAACTCGGGGACAAATCCTGACGGTAAGGATGGCCTTGGGCCACCACACATAGAATTATGACCAGATATTGGTAATTGAGGGTATCTAGAGCTCTGGATCAAACCCAGTGAGAGGTCTCCATGGGAAGGGTCTTCTGCTTGACTGTCACACACGCGTTACCAATGGGGACACTGTTGCCACCTCAACCTGGGAATGTCCCTCTTTTCCTAAGGGATCTCCCCAACATTGGACCTCATCCTGGAGCCCTCCCTAAGAGCTTGGGGCGGGGGGAGATAGAGCAGGAGGAGAGAACAGAGGAGAAGATGAGAGATGAAGAGAGACAAGATGGGAAGAGAGAAGATGAAGAACGGAGACAAGATAAGCAGAAGATGAAGAGATGAGACAAGAAATGAAGAGAAGATGGAAAGATGAAGGGATGAAGAGGTGAGTAGAAAGGGGAGCGATGAAATGAGATGAAGAGACAAGATGAGAGAAGTTCAGGAGGCAACTTCTGAGGCTACAAGAGACATGAAGAAACTGGATGAGATGGAAGAGAGGAGACTGGATGAGGAAAAGGTGCATGAGGAAGATGAGAGATGAAAGGAAGATGAAGATGACGAAGTAAGAGATGAGGTTAGACAAAACAAGAGATAAAGAGGCAACCAGAAAGGAACATGGGGCTTCTTTTTGGGGCATGGGGGTGGCAAATTTGTGTTTTTCTCCCCCTTTTTTCATGAGCACCAGGGCGTTATTGTAATTCTGGGGGTGTTTTCTTGCTTCCCCGCAGGCTCCCTCGGCATGGACAACCTGCAGCCGCTCTCCTCGGCCACGGCCACCAAGGACCGGC